TTCCCGTTCCCTTAACCAAAATCTCCACAAGCGTGTTCAAGTCTTTCCATTTCAGGAGAGATGCAGACAGACGACAGTCATACAGTCCTGCTGACTGACCACCCTTGCTGCAAATGTCAAAGAGCCTGGACTAGCTGTAACAGACTCTAAAATCAACAAGACAAGGTCTCTGCTTTAAGATGTTCCAGGTCTGGTTTGGGAGCTGCACTAGTAAGCAACTGCTAACTGCCTAGTAGGACTATGATAGAAGCAATAGGTACAACACCAGCAGCCAGGAAGGCACCTTACCCAGAATGCAAGTCCTGCAGGATAAGCCAGGATGTGAAAAAAAACAAAACGGAAAGCCCCAGGGGGCGGGGTGGTAAAGGCTGAGCAACCAGAAAAGCACGGCAAAGTGGCAGGAATTGTGACTTCATGGACTGGTCAGTAAAAACAACACAGTTGCCAAACACTTGATTTCCAAATAGATTTTTAAGTCATGCTAGCATAATAAAGCATCAGGTCCATTGATCTGAAGTGGCCTGTGCTACCACTGAACAACGTCACAGAACAACACCTTTTTAATATTTAACAGTTGAATTGTTTGGTTCACATGGCACTTCTATGGACTCCCTTATCCAAGAATCGATGAGCTATACCAACATTAATTCATTCTCCGAATAACCTCATGAATGGAGTAAGCTTAAATAAGCCAACATCCATAATTCATTAAATTATAATAAGAACAGAAGAGAGATGTTAAATATCTTGACAAAATCACCCAACGAGATCAATATTCCTTTCAACTTCACCACAGAAAATGTGTGTAATCTAGAAATATACTTCTTAAATTGTCTATTGTTCATTTGACTTGACAGGTAACAAGAATGAGAGAATCTATCAGAAAGTAGATTGCTGTTTATTTCTAACTACTAAGTAGCCACAATGGTGAAAATATTTTTACCTAAGCAAAGCTTAAATCCTAAAGTAGAAACTACATATATGCCAGGAATAAAGGATGCTAGAGATAAATAACTCCATGGTTTTAACAACTCTGAAAATAGAAGAGCCTGAAGATGAGACCCAACATGAGACTATCAAGTCAAAACATTAATGATAAATCTCATATATTGAAAGAGAATAAATGTAAGACCACGATGACCTAGTTCCTCAATTAGGGCAATGATTTAGTGCTCTAACTTTGCATGTTTTGAAAAGAAGCTTCTTCCAATCAAGTCTTACTTGGAACAGTTTATCTAAGAAAATAAAAGCAAGACATTCAGGAAGTTAATGGTTTGGACAACAAAGCAACAGTGGGGATAACGTAATTAAATTTGAACACCCCTAGGATGGTGATTCATGCTAATGGATGCGTGTTACCATAAGCTTGCAGGAGGGTGAGTTGTTCTTTTTTGGGGGAGTGGGCGAGAGGGGAGGTGGGGGAGGGGATTTGGTAGGTTTTGTTATAATAAAAAGAAGGAAGCTGGTTTGAAACAGCCCAAATGGAAGAGTTGAGAAATAGTTTTCAAGGTTTTGCAGGAGCCCACCTTGGAGTCACAAAATATAATCATCACTTGAATGAATGCCAAGAAAGCAAAGCAAAAGGAAAAATGGGGAAATGACAGAAAATAACTACAATCTTAATTTTCATCTCCCTCTCCTCTACTAAAGGTATAGATAAAGGGAACACAGATGAAGTCAAGTTAGATGATTTGTTGTTTACAGGAGTTTTATTTAAATGTAGTCTGTGAATTCCTCTAGATGTCACATGTCATGTTTATGCCTCTCTTCTATCATTGTGAGTAATTAGAATCTTATTATATTTACAGTTGTTAGGCCTTGACAATTCCTTGATCTAAGTGGATTTTATATAAGTCATGGAGGCCTTTTTTGTGCAAGGCACTGCTGGAGATAGAGGTGTAAGTGAAAATCCCTACCTCAAGGAGCTAACATGTTCTCAATAAGCTGGGGTTTTTTTTAAATTTTTTTTTTAAATAAAGTCTATGTTTCCATAAGGCCTTGGTACGAAGGGCCTGTATTTGTAAATACTACCAATCTGTAAGTCATTTTGTTTTCCATAAACCCTAGCTTTGGTGTTTTTAATTATGTAAAGTAAATTGGCAAATTGTAGGTGTTAAACAGTTTAAGTTACCACAGAAAAGGTAATAAAGACATCTATAAGATAAGCCACATCTTAATACTATATGCAATTAAAAAGCAATCTTAATAGTAATTGCTAATACAATACAGTAATAGCTACTACAAAGTGTTTGCTCTTTTCTAATCAGTTCTAAGCATATATATGTGTATATATGTGTATATATGTATACACACACACACACACACACACACACACACACGCACGCACGCACACATTCTCCTAACTCACAGCAGCTCTGTGTGAGGAGTACCAGTATTATCCTGATTTTACAGATGAGAATATAGACACAGAGACAGAGTAGGTATAGACAGAAAGAGGAATGCTGGGAGACTAAGAGTGGGAATGGAATAGTTCAATGCAGCATCAAGAGTGTGGAAAAGAGGAAAACCTTTCAGAGTCCGTAATTTCCAAACTGAGTTTAACCAAAATCTGAAAGGAGAATAAGAAATCCCAATGGTACTAAAATGACATAGGTGACTGAGCACACAGCAAGCACAGAAAAATAATCACAAAAGACAAGTTTAAGTTACAGTGCATAAACAAATCAGCCTTTACCCTTTGAAGAAAGATTAAAACTGTTTTTAAAATTCTCGGGCCGGCCGAGTGGCGCGATGGTTAAGAACTGGCTTGGGACGCCAGAGGGCCCCGGTTCGGATCCCACATATGAGGGCCAGTGACACTGTCCTCTACAGCTAAGATGCTGAACAACAGCTCAACCTGGAGCTGGGCTGCCGTGAGTCACCGGCAACGGCGTAGGCTGCAGCCCCTGTGGCAGTGGATTGCCATGGGCTACCGTGTGTAGCCAGCAGCCAGCGTGAGCGGCCAGCAGCCGCAGTGAGCGGCCGTCCAGAAGCCGACGACTGATCTGCCTCGCCCGGGAAGAGCGCAATGATGGTGCTAACTTGGGCCAGTGAAGCAACGTCCTCCACAACTAGACTGAAGAACAAAACGACAGCAACTTGTCTGTTCCCCTTCCCCAATTCCCCAGCACTGTTCCCATCCCCCCAATTCCCCCAATAAAAAAAATCTTTAAAAAAAAAAATATCACAAAGACATATTTAATAATTGTCAGGAAAATAAAAACAGTGATGTATGAAAGATAATCCAGGTAAGTTAGCCATGTCCTTAACAAAATAAACCATGAGAAATATGGTTTTGCTGTATTGGGTTGTCAGGAAAGTCATATGCATTTTTGCAACGAAAAACAGAAAAAAATACTTTTCATGACTTTTCTGAAAACCCAATATATTTATGATACCAAACCCTGAAATAAATATGTATCATTTAAATGAAAAATGGTATTTCATTTAAATATTATTAAAACATTTCTAATGCTCAGGAGCACCATCTCAGTGTTCATCTCAGTGTTTGGTGTCATGCACATCTGTGCAAATCTCATTCTCAAAAATTCATTAGGAGAAAATTCATAAATCAGAACACATGTTTTTTTAATGTAGGCAGGGGAGTAAAAGTTATACTTGGGTCTAACACAGTTGTTTTTGTTTCCCATTTAATAAAATTTCAGAATAAAAACTGCTTTTAAATGTACAAAAGAAACTCGGTGGAAAATACATATAATGTACTGTTACAAAAATTATGAAACAGGATATTATAAATCATGTATTTTAGAGCAAGCATTCTAGATTTTAGCTAGTGGTTTGAATCATAAGCTATGAGCTTAGTCCACGTTCTCTTGGACACATTAATTGGAACTCTTTTCTCAATTTTAAAAAGGGGAGTACCAAGAGACCCTACTCTACAAGGCTGCTATAAGAATAAAAAAGTAGTTACAGTGTTCTGCTTGGTACATGGTGGGGACTCAACGTGTTAGCTACTACTTTCATTAGATGTCATCATATAAGCCTTTACTATTTATGCATAAACTATACTAAAGAGGGAACTAGAAAATCCATTTTTTGAAGACTTCTAAAGTGATGCAGACCTGACCAGCCATTTCAGTAATTACTTTAAAAATTCTATAACATTTGATCTGAAGCCTAAAAGAAATCACCAGCCTGGTTGATAGCAAGACACATGTGGCTTCTTTCTACAGAGGTATGTGGGTATATTCTCATGAAACACAAAATATTTTATATATTAGTATTTCTAATTTGATATCCCTGGGGTTTTCCCAATGCAAAGAAATACGCCTAGGGAAACTATAAAAAGCAACGGCCCGTAGTTAAAAAACAACAGCAACAAACAAACTGATCTGTAAATGCCAAAGCATTCACCTGCAACTGAGACTGGTCACATCTGGGTGTCTGGGACACTCTTGGAGCATTTTTTTATAAGACTGCATCATGTACAGTTTCTTTATAAAGGTTTATTAGGTGGTGCTTGTTAAGGCCATAGCTAACAGAGCATAAATATGAAAAATAGTAGTTCATTTAAATATCATTAAAATGTTTCTAACCTTCAGGAGCCTAGTTTCCTTTCAGTTTCATCTCATTGTTTGTCTTGATGTTAGCATCTGGCAAATACCATTTTCAATGGACAAAATCAAGGCCAGCTTTGAATTTTCTGCTGTCACATTTCATCATTCTTTCCTCCCCATCTTACACCTCTCTTCCACTTTTCCTCCACTTGGTTTTATTTTCTGATGTCCAGTGGATGAAGTCTAGAGTTCTAAATTCTATGCCTTGAGCTATTTAGAGATAAGACACCATGTAACACTAATGCAGTATTAAACGCATCAGTTGCCAAAGGAGCACATAAAATGTTTACTCCTGAATGATGTCATCAAATACCATTTAGCAGTATGTCTCACTGACATAACCCGTGTGGGAAATATATGAACCTTAATTGAGAATACGATTTTATATACATGTCCTATGAGCCAGAAACACACAGTACTTACTTTTGCTCAACATAGAGAGGATCAAAGAATTCTGTTGTGATTTTGTTTGCATACAGGGAGCAACCGGTCATTGAGCATAGCCCTAAAAGGTATCAGAGGGAAAGGACCAGGGTTAGTGTTATTTCATTAACATGGTGGAAGCACCTTGTCTGGAAGAAAGTTACTATTTACCTGACAGTATGAATACAATCCCAGCCAAACAAGCGATTTTCGCTTTGGCTTTTTCTGAGCCTCCGACTTTGGTACATTTCATTCCAAACAGCGCAAATATGGAGCCAAAGAAGCCCAGGCTGACAGCGGCAATCATAAGTCCTCTACATGCCTGGATATAACCTGCAATTAGAGTAGGTCACTTACATAACATCAAACAGGTGACTGTCCAGGGAGAAATCCTTAGTTTACATTGTCCTTCTGAATGAGTGGCCCATTTTCCAATAAAAATAATAATAACAATAACCATAATTGTTAAAGCACACGGTAAGACAAGCAAGGAAGGAACGCAAGTTAGCCTATACAGAGTGCCTGTTCTATGTCACACACGTTTAAGTTTGGCTTATACCTAGTCCTCAGATTAGATCTTTGAGTGCTAGCATTCACATGAGGAAAGTGAGGCACGCAAAGTTTACGTGATATTTCAGAGATGAGTTAGTGAGAGGCAAAAATGGATTCCATCAAGATCTGACTACAAAATCCATGTAACACTGCCTTTCCCTGTGGGAAACATCACCTACCACCATCTCAACCCTCTTCCTCCCTCGCATATTAGGACTTTTCAATAGATATTTTAATGGTTTTGACACTATAAAATTTATAATTGGGCAGCATGGCTTCCCAAAGGGTCAAATCTTCCAATATTAGCGAAAGCTTATAAATGAGACCAACTAAAATATCATCATGAGCCAAGAGGATCTAAATCTAGAAGTATATTAATCATATTGTATTATTTTCAGGGTACATATAATAAAATTTGGTTCAAAAAATTGGTAATTTACTAGAAGAATATTTTGTAATTATTAAATGAACTGACAGCATATAAATGCTTTCAAAGTAACTCTAAAAGCTTGTTCTCTTGGTTTGTTTGATCATTCTTCCTACACCTTTCATTTCTTTAGTCACATATTTTTATTTGCACAACTAGGGTGGTGGCCAACTTCAGCCTTGCTTTTGTCCAGACACTAACAAATTTTAAATTAATAGGATTTAAACTAATAAACTTTTACCACCTGAGGTTGTTTTCCTTTCAGCCTGAAACAATGCCATGCATGTTTCAATCTGAAATAGTGAATGGCACACACTAGGTATAAGTAAATATTTGTTAAGCAAATGAACATACATGTACATCAGGTTTACATTTAGAATTAAACTTGTTAATCTGAAAAAAACTAGTTAATGTCAAGATACTGAAGGTCAATTATTATTAGTATTCAAGCAAAGGCTATGATAAATAATAATTTGAATGCTATGATAATCATAAATTCAGGGAATGATGCTGGCAGGTGGCCTTCAGTCCATGTTTCTTTGGGAAAGAATAAAATTTTAAGTTTAAATCCTACCCCTAGGATCCATTTTGAAGAGTTACACATGCTCTATTTTAGTTGAATAAATTTAGGGTCCCACAAATGCAGACTGCAGTGACAATGACCTTCTGTTTTATAGTGTGAACTCCTTCCAGACAGAAAATAATTTCACTGATGGTGAGACTATCATAAACAGCAAAAGCAACTTTCTTTTAGCAAAACAGAACAATGAGGCTGATTTTGATAACAGCAGTTATGCGGCGGGGCCCTCTGGGTCTCTGCTGCCCAATACTGACCCAGCTCTGTTTTCAACTTCAGCCCTCAAATCCCCCTAGCAGAACCCAAGCAGCAGGCAGAGGCACAGAAGCACAGACCGAGATAGGAAGCCTCTCAGCTCCTTGCAAGATTCAAGACAGTCTACCAGGAGAATCACAACCGGCTTTTCATTGATCATCAGAGCTACCGGAAATAGTGTGAGTTCATTATTTTTTGAGATTTATTTTAATCTGTGATTTTGAGGAGTTTTAGCTGACTCTGACTGTAATCACTAAACAGACAAAACAGTGTGTGTGTGTGTGTGTGTGTGTGTGTGTGTGTGTGTGTGTGATGTAACCTCGTATAATATGTGTAAAAAAAAAAAAACTCCGAGAAAATGTTATCATGCACTATAATTTGCATTTACTGTAGTAACCTTATAGGTTTTATGAATAGAACGCAGGAGCTGGCAAAAGGTTAAGTCCTACAGTCGGCCCATTTAGACCACGGAATGCATTTTCTCAGATGGTAAACAGTGGTTAGAATCCCAAGCCAAGGCATTCAATCGTTAATGTGACTGGGAAAATAACAGCAGTCTTTAAACTTCATTTAACCACTATGCATAACCTTTTTTTCTGAGTTTCTCACTCAGTTTTTCCATCTTAGCCCTCATAACTGCAGCAGGACCTGTCCCTTGACACAAGTCCCAGAGGAGAGACAGGGAGAGCAAGGTTCCGATGTGGTCAGGTCCTTCCTCAGTACACTTAGAACCCTAGTTTGGAGGGGAAGGTACCTCTCTCTGGAATGAAAACAGTACCTGTAAATAGGCTGCTAACTTGTCGCATACACCAAAGAAGGCTCCTCACCAGGACAACTATTGGCTAGATTTTCTGAAACGGGGAGCCGAGAGCAAGAACTGGGGTTCCTGGGGATAAGTTCCCCTGCCAGCAGTAAATGTCACCCAGTTGTGGGCAAACCTGGTTTGTAAATTAGGGGTTACCAGTCCTTAAAACACCCACATACCCAGGCCTTAGGTGACTCCTAACAACTCAGTTTATCTTTTGCAAGGCAGACCTCTACAACCTTGCTTTTTAACAGCTCCTCAGGGCAACACTTCTAAGTAACACCATCAAGTGAAATGGTGGTAAAAACTAGTCAAGGAGGCCATTATTTTTGACAGGTCTAATTTACTGACACAGTTAATAGCTAATTAACACATTAAAGTGCTGAGGCATGCCCATATTTACTTAGAAGTTCTCTGAAGTATAATTTATAGTTAATTCTCTTCGAAGAAATGGCCAACATTCCCACTAACAAAAACAGACGGCATACACTAAAAGCAACCTGGCTGAAAATGATTCTCAGCTAAAGTTCAAGTAGTGTTTTGAAAGGAACATGGGTTAGCAATAAACAGAAATCACTAGCTCATTCAACCATGCAATTTTCAATTAGTAAAATACAGTGACTTGAATGAATTCTGTTGGAGGAAACCTTCAAGATGTCCCGTAAAAGTTAAGTGTTTTCCAAATAATGTGTGCCTGATTTTCCATTTCAAACTAGTAAAAATGACAATATTCACGTGGTGGAGGCAATTTCCTAGTTAACACAGGAGTTAGTTGCTGGATTGGAGGGAGGGGAAAAATGTGCTTTTCTTATGCTAGTAGCTTTGTGTGCTTTTTGCAAATCCTTTGAAAGAAGAGTAGTATGGGGGGAAGGCATGAACTTTGAATTTCAGCTCTGGTTCTTCTATTTACATGCTGTGTACCCTTGTTTACATTAGCTAATCTCTCTGAGTCTCTGTTTTCTCATCTGTAAAACAGGGATAACAGCACTTACTTCATAGAACGAATATGAACAGAGTGTCTGGTGAGGGGGAAGAAACTCATCGAAGCTTCCCTTCCATAATACTAAGATTGATTCTAAGCAGAAATTGGGGTCTTAACATGCGGAACCATTAAATCTAGACATTTAGCTTTTCTTGGTCTCCTTTTCCTTATAGGGAAAACTGGGATGACCGTGATACCACTTGATGAGGAGGGATCAGAGCATTGACCTCATATGGGGAATTCAAAGTAACGACTCCATTATCTGCGTCCAAGAGGCTTATCTTCCATCTAAGACTAGACGAGAGAACCATGAGCCTTCTCTCTCCCTTCCCAGATTTTCTTCTCAATCTACACCTTATGCGTGGGTTAAGGGGAGGGTTTGCCTGCTCAGGCCTGTGGCCACCCGGGCCCACAGCAACGTAATGCCACTGCAAAGGTAATGTCACGAAGGCCACGTGCAGCATGCTCTCAGTAGGCAGGACCTGCCTCAGAACCAGCAGCTGACAGATGTGGCTGCCCTGGGAACACATGGCAGAGACAGTACAAGCAGAGGGGCCTGCTCTGAGAAGCTCCACTTGAAGGTGGGGGAATCAACTCCTCTCTCTTTCACAATGTAGTGGTGTCAGTGAATCCCCCAAAACGTTATTCTGGGAGATATAGAAAAGTAAATCCATCGCTCTGGGGTAGGCAATGCCTTCCTAAGCCACAAAAGGCAGAGCCAGAAGGAAACGTCTGATAAATCTAATTATAGTGCACATTTCAAAGTTTTATATGATAAAAGTCTTCACAAGTCTAAAAGACAAACAACGGGCTGAGATTGCAACATATAAAACAAATCAAAGATTGACATCAGAATTAAAAAAACAACAACAACAAATCATTTAAACCAAAAGGAAACAACAGAACCATGGGTATAAGATATGGACAGGAATTCACAAAAGATAAGATAAAATAAATGAGCAGAACATAATAAAATGGTCAAAATCACAGATAATTAAGGAAATGCCAATTAAAGTAATAACATGACTATAGGTCACCTATAACATTGGATGAAAAACTTAGTGATGAGAATGTGGAGAAATAGGTATTCTCATACACTTTGTGGAACGTAATTTGGCAGTACAAACTGAATATTAAAATGAATATTTTACTGCCCCGACAATACCATTTTTCATTATCTACTCTATAAAAATACACATATGCACACACGAAGAGACAAATATAAAAATTTTCAGTAAAGAGCTAACAACAATGAAAAGATAGAAGGGGTCCAATGTCCATCAATGGGTAAATGGTTAAATAAACCAGTTTGTCCAAACTAATGAATACTATGTAGTCATTAAATAGAGTTACTACTATATATTCTGACTGGAAAAGACATGTTATTAATTTTAGAACGTTGCAGAACAATAGGTAATGTGATGTCATTTATGTATTTTAAAGTCATTTAAAATACATGAACGCACATGGAAGGATATTTTGCAAGCTGGGTTATATATAAATGTCACTCCTCTATCTGATTCATTCTCAGCTCCCTATAGAGCTTAATAATTGAGCGCTATGCCTTCCTTCTTCCTCACTGTCCCACATGCCCGCAAATCTTAATGCCATGTCCACTCTCACCTCAGACGCATAAGGTGAAAACTTCACTATTCTGCACCCAATAATATTCAGGGAGCATTTATTTCTCTTCTGCCTTGTCCCCTGTTTTACAGAATGAAGCATACCGATCTGG